TGATGCACAGATCACAAATGACAAGTGCGATGTTATTTCTTATCACATGATCGGGGTTCAACTTCAACTGCTTAACAAAAACAGGAATCGTAGCCTTTGCAATCTTTTCATCCTAAACAGAAAACTTTTACTTACTTCTTCTCAAGATATGAAAGACACAAACCATTAAACAGAATTTTCCAATAGTTAGGACAGCGTATGCACGCACTGGCGGAGTAAGAAGAGGACGGCGTTTATTCATTGCGTCTTTAACGATGTGTTGAGGGATGACTGGTCCACTCTGGACAGACGTCCCTTGAGAAGTAGTCGACGTTGGTTGTGAGGATCCTTCACTGCTCTTAAAAAAGACTAAAACCTGCAACAATGCTTGCCCAAACTATATCAATTCATAGGTCTATGTACGGATGCAGACTATTGTGCTGAGAGTTTATACGTAATTTTACCAAAAAAGGGTGAGCAGGTGAAGGAGCACGAGACGTGGATGGTGATGGGTTAACTGATGGCATTGCAAAGTTGACAACTTAAACTGAGATTAATTTGACTGCAACAAAGAACCTAAAATTCGCTGTGTGGGAGACCATACCAGGTAAGTCCTCTTCTTGGAATATGTCCGACGCGAGAACTGTCTTTAAAGCGTCAAAGTGACGGAGCCCAGCCGGCATCAACCGCGGAGAGAACTGTACAATCTCTCCAATTGTTACAACCATACGAATGAGAGAAGCCTCGCGGGCCGCCAATCTGGAATTTTGCAGATATAAACTCAAAACTTCAGGCATACTTGTTTCCTAATTACCTTTCAGCGTCTTCGTACTCGTCCTCAAGAAGAGACTCGCGAATTTTGACGCGACAAATATCAAGAACTTGATTCCCAAACTTTCCAAGGATTTCCTTTCCTTAAATAAACTCTTAAGAAACTTAATTGCCAAAAGAACTGTGGAATACAATGACTGAGGAACATACCAGTGCCTTCTTCCCCAATGGCATCCAACAATTTTGCCAGACAGTGATATGAAGAAGATATGTTTGGCGCATGAATTCTTAAAAGCAATACAAGTTAGAGGATAAAGCCTAAACGGAAATGTACCTGAAATTCGAAATTTTGTTTTTGAAATCAGCAATGAGATCATCCTTTGCGTCATTTTTGAT